CCAGAAGAAATATCAATAACTGCAGATACGCAGATGACACCACCCTTATGGCAGAAAGTGAATTAGAACTGAAGAGCCTCTTGATCAAAGTGAAAGAGCAAAGTGAAAAAGTTGGCTTAAAACTCAATATTCAGAAAACTAAGACCATGGCATCCAGTCCCATCATTTCATGGCAAATTTATGGGGAAACAATGGAAACAGTGAGAGACTTTTATTTTGGGGGGCTCCAAAATCACTGTTGATGGTGAATGCAGCCATGAAATTAAGACAATTGTTCTTTGGAGGAAAAGTTATGACCAACCTAGACAGCATATTAAAAAGCAGTGACATTACTTTGCCAACAAAGGTCCATCTAGTTAAAGCTATGGTTTTTCCAGTAGTCATGTATGGATGTGAGAGTTGGACCATAAAGAAAGCTGAGCACCCAAAAATTGATGGTTTGAACTGTAGTGTTGGAGAAGACTCTTTAGAGTCCCTTGGACTGCAAAGAGATCAAACCAGCCAATCCCAAAGGAAATCAGTCCTGAGTATTCATAGGAAGGACTGATGCTGAAGATGAAACTTCAATACTTTGGCTACCTGATGTGAAGAACTGATTCATTGGAAAAGAGCCTGATGCTGGGAAAGATTGAGCACAGGAGGAGAAGGGGATGACAGAGGATGAGATGGTCAGATGGCATCCCCAATTCGATGGACATGAGTTTGAGCAAGCTTCTGGAGTAGATGATGGACAGGGAAGCCTGGTATGCTGTAATCTATGGGGTCGCAAAAAACCAGACATGACCTAGCGACTGAACTGAACTGAATCACTGATGATCATAGATGTAAACATCCTCAACATAATTCTAGCAAACAGAATTTTAAAACACATTAAAAAGCTCATACACCATCATCAAGTCCAGTTTATCCCAGGGATGCAAGAATTCTTCAATATATGCAAATCAATCAATGTGATATATCACATTAACAAACTGAAAGATAAAAACCATATGATCATCTCGACAGATGCAGAAAAAGCATTCAACAAAATTCAGCACCCATTTATGATAAAAAAAATACTTCAAAAACAGAGCATAGAAGGAATCTACCTCAACATAGTGATGGCCATATATGATAAGCCTACAGCAAACATTATTCCCAATGGTGAAAAACTAAAAGCATTCCCTCTAAGAACAGGAAAAAGACAAGGGTGTCCACTCTCACCATTACTGAACATAGTTTTGGAAGTCCTAGCTATAGCAATTAGAGAAGAAAAAGAAATAAAAGGAATCCAGATCAGAAAAGAAGATGTAAATCTCTCACTGTTTGCAGATGACATGATACTACACATAAAAACCCCCCAAAAACTATCAGAAAATTACTAGAGGCAATCAGTGAATTCAGAATATTCGTGGGATACAAGGTCAATACACAGAAACTGTTTCCATTTCTATATACTAACAATGAAAAGTCAAAAAGAGAAATTAAGGAATCAATCCCATTCGCCATTGCAACAAAAAGAATAAAATATCTAGGAATAAACCTACCTAAGGAGACAAAAGACATGTATATGGAAAATTATAAGACACTGATGAAAGTAATCAAAGATGACATAAATGGATGGAGAGATATTCCATGTTCCTGGGTAGGAAGAATCAATACTGTGAAAATGACTATACTACCAAATGCAATCTACAGATTCAGTGCAATTCCTATTAAACTATCAATGGCATTTTTCATAGAACTAGAACAAAAAATTTCACAATTCATATGGAAACACAAAAGACACTGAATAGCCAAAGCAGTCTTGAGAAACAAGAATGGAGCTGGAGGAATCAACTTCCTGACGTCAGATTATACTACAAAACTACAGTCATCGAGACAGTATGGTACAGGCACAAAAACAGAAATATAGATCAATGGAGCAAGACAGAGAACCCAGAGATAAACCCACACATCTATGGTTACCTTATTTTTGACATGGAGGCAAGAATATACATAATGGGACAAAGATGTCCCCTTCAGTAAGTGGTGCTGGGAAAATTGGACAGCTACATGCAAAAGAATGAAATTAGAACATTTCCTAACCCCATACACAAAGAGAAACTCAAAATGGATTAAAGACCTAAATGTAAGACCAAAAACTATAAAACTCTTAAGAGGAAAAAACAGGCAGAACACTCAATGACATAAATCAAAGCAAGATCTTCTATGACCCACTTCCAAGAAAAATGGAAATAAAAACAAAAATAAATAACTGGGACCTAATTAAACTCAACAGCTTTTGCATAGCAAAGGAAACTACAAACAAGGTGAAAAGACAACCCTGAGAATGTGAGAAAATAGTAGTAAATGAAACAACTGATAAAGAATTAATTTCTAAACTATAAGCAGCTCATAAGTCAATACCAGAAAAAAAAAAACAGCTCAATCAAAAAGTGGGGGAAAGACCTAAGAAAAATAGCTTCTCCAAAGAAGACATACAGGTGGCTAACAAACACATGAAAAGATGCTCAACATTGCTCATTATCAGAGAAATGCAAATCAAAACTACAATGAGATACCACCTCATACCAGTCAGAATGGCTATCATCAAAAGGTCTACAAACAATAAATGCTGGAGAGGGTGTGGAAGAAAAGGGAACACTCTTGCATTGCTGGTGGGAATGGTAAACTGATACAGCCACTATGGAAGAGAGTATGGAGATTCCTTTAAAAGCTAAGAATAAAACCACCAGATGACCCAGCAATACCACTCCTAGGCATATACCCTGAGGAAACCAAAATTGAAAAAGACACATGTACCCCAATGTTCACTGCAGCACTATTTACAATAGCTAGAACATGGAACCAACCTGGATGTCCATAGACAAATGAATGGATAAAGAAGCTGTGGTACATATATACAATGGAATACTACTCAGCCAAAAAAGGAACACATCTGAGTCAGTTCTAATGAGGTAGAAGTAAGAAGTAAGAAAGAAAGAAGTAACTCAGAAAGAGACATAAAAATATCATGAAAGTCACTCAGTTGGGTCCAACTCTTTGCAACCCCATGGACTATACAGTCCATGGAATTTTCCAGGCCAGAATACTGGAGTGGTAGCTGTCCGCTTCTCCAGGGGATTTTCCCAACCCAGGGACTGAACCCAGGTCTCCCGCATTGCAGGTGGATTCTTAATATACTTACGCAAATATATGGAATCTAAAAAGATGGTACTAACACATTTATTTTCAGGGCAACAATGGAGAAACAGACACAGAGAACAGACCGATGGACATGGGGGTAGGGGAGAAGTGAGAGGATGAGATGTACAGAGAGAGTAACAGAAGTTTACAATACCACATGTAAAATAGACAGTCAGTGGGAATTTGCTGTATGACTCAGGGGCTCTGGGACAATCTAGAAGGGTGGGATGGGGAGGGAGGTGGGAGGGAGGCTCAGGAGGGAGGAGACATGGGTGTAACTATGGCTGATTCTTATTGATGTATGACAGAAACCCACAACATTCTGTAAAGCAATTATCTTCCAATAAAAATAATAAAGAATAAAAGAATACTGGAGTGCGTTGCCCTGCCCTTCTCCAGGGGATCTTCCCGACCCAGGGATTGAACCTGCATCTCTCACATTGCAGACAGATTCTTTACTATCTGAGCCACCAGGGAAGCCCCTAAATTCTTTTTATGCCCCTCTAAATCCATAAAGGCTTCAAATGGGAAAACAAAAAACTGAGTCACTGAAAAATTAAAGTCTACCTTTCATATTAGACTGTAATGTACTTTTAATTATGAACAAAAAGTTATGATTGGTTTTAAAAAATAAAAGACCAGAATAAATATAAAATAATGATGATCTACTCATTTTACAGTGGAAACTAATGGTGCTACACTTTCTATTTTTCTTCTAAGAAATGTCAAGTAGAAATAGCAAACTGTCCTCTGGGAAAAATCAGAGTATCTGAGCTTAAAAAAGAACTCTGTCCTCAAATGAGTTAGTGCACAAGTATTCACTAGGGAACCATGCATTCTTTGACAGTGTGGGCTCAGGACATGAAATAGTGGAGGTTTTTAAAGCATCTTAGAATATGGCTCATATACATCAAAGACTGCAGTTGTGGCCTAGAGTATTTTAAAACTTTCTCTTTCCTTTAAGGAATAAGCTATAATACAGTTTGTGCATTAGTCTGTGGTACCCCTCCTCAACTTAAAAATCTCAGTAAAAAAAAATGCAAATGCATAAATAAGGAACTGTCACCATCTTTCAGCACAAACTACAATATTTTTCAGAGCCATTCATTTTTCAACTCTCTGTAAATGATATAACTTTTTCCATCCATGAAAACAATTCATTAATTTTATTGTAAGACTTTCTGAGGTTACTCAATTCAGCAATCTTCAACGAAAAGAATTTTCTCTAGCCTAATATCTCTTACAAAGATTAATCAATATTCCACTTATCCTTCTGCAAATGTAAATCAATGCTGGACACCTCAGGGAAACACCTTCATTTACTTGAAACCTATGTATAAAGTTATCTTTTATACTCTCTTCTACAAACTAAATAACATAATATTCCTAATTTATCTCTGCAGTGTGTATTATCCATTAGCTTGTAAATTTTGATTTGTATCTGTATTTGATTATTTTATCAGCGTAGTTAACAGAAATGAAAAAATTCTCTGAGAATAATATACAGATTATTAAGATGGCATCTATAGATTAAAAACTCATACCAAGTGCTTTTATCTATTTGTTTTCTTGCCAAACAGCATAATATTGCTTGCTCATGTTTAGGTTAAAGTTAACTAAGAACCATGTTTTTTTTTTTTTCCATTAATTCCACTAGGCTTAACCAGTAAGCCATTCTCTGAAATGAATTTCTAATTTATTTTTATCCCAGACATTTAATAACTAGTACTTGTCACCACTCTTCTATCCTGTTTGAATGAAACCATTTTGCAACCGCTCATACCAATTCTGAATTTTATTTATATCTCCTATTAACATTTATTTTCATTTAGAAACAACAATAAATCATGCAGAAATCTTTTTGATATCACATGCACGAGAGCACACATAACACCAATGAAGATACCGACTAAAAGGGACCTCACAGCTAGATTCTCAATGAACTCCTCCAAGATACAGGTAAGTCAGTCTTGGAATCTGGATACATTTGGTTTTCCTACTTATACTGCTAAAGTCAAGGCCATGTTTTTATTTAAAAAGGCTATGCTTTTGTAAGAATACTTTTCATCTCAAAGGAAACATTAAAAAAAAAAAAAAAAAAAGCTCCTGCCATTGTAGGAGATGCAAAATTCCTGGGTCAGTAAGATCCCCTGGAGTAGGAAACGGCAACCCACTCCAGTATTCTTGCCTGGAAAATTCCACAGACAGAGAAGCCAAGTGGGCTACAGTCTATGGGGTCGCAAAAAGAGTCAGAAATGACTCAACATACATGCATGCATGCTCGTTAACAAATATAAACATCAAATAAACTATATAATTAAACAAAAAAAAAAAGCTACAGCTATCATTTTGCCCTTATATTGCATGTCACTCTGTAACTGAAAACACACTACTTGCTTTGTATGTTGTACTGAGAGTTCATGAGCATTACAGAACTATGAAAATATGCTTGCTAATGGTCAACATTGCATACTAAGCACCCAGTGACTTCTCTCCAAAACAATGCTCATAGACTTGCATAGTGGCTAAAATTCTTAAGCATGCTATACTTGAATATAACATAGGAATACATAAGATTTTCTAAATCTTCCAGTGCTTTTCCCATTTGACTTGACATTTATCACAATCGAAACAACTTCTCCATTCTTTATACCTAATTGAAAAAACATGAATGAAAACAACTTTCAAGACTTTAGCCTCCTAATAACCTTTTAGTAATACTTTTTCATTCTTCTCTATTTATTCAAAAGCATATTAGTTTAAAAAAAAAAAGGCAACGTAGGCAGAACACAAAAGAATCAGAGTTCTTGTTATATTTTAAGTGACACAAGTTGAAAAGCAAAGTATATAAATATAACATCTAAATGTCCTTTATTCAAAGAGAAAATTTTTTCTCTTCTAAAGTGAATGCTGAGCTTTCATTTCTTATTTCTCTTCTTCATTTTCAACTTTCCTTTTCTTCCTAAACAATTAAGTCCTAAAACCACAACACAGGGCAGAGTCAGAATCCTGTAAGTAAGGTCAAGACGTGCAGAGAAGGACTGCCCAGCGGGTTATCAGTGGCCAAACTAGCTGAGAAGGGCACCAACAAGGCAGGGTAAGCACAGCCTCAATGAGGTGAGAAGAGCAGCCACGTGGAGGGGTAGCCCAGCATGTGTATCAGAGCCTAAGTGTTTGAGGTGGGTATCCTTCCCACAGAGTGGAAGTGATCCAGCATCAAGATTCAGAGTCCCAGTATGGTGAAGAGTGGTCTATACCAGGGACTGGTGCTGGTGTAGAGGACACAGGGTGAAGAGAGCATCCACACAAAGGCTTAACCTGAAGTAGGTCATCACAACCCAAGGAGAATGAGAAGGATGCACAGTCAGAAAGCAGCCCCGAGGGCAGTACCCAAGCCCAGGCAGAGTGAGAAGGGTCATCCTCAAGAAGGCGCAGGCTGGTGAAATGCAAGAGCCTAAGGTGAGGGAGAGGGCCTCCACACAATGGAGAGGACCAACATGTGGAGGTCAGAGCTAGAGAAAGGTAAGGAGGACGAAACTGCCAAGGGGTGGCTTGGTGTGGGGTATCAAAGCCTCATCAGAGGAGAGAGGAGCAGACATCCAAGGAGTGGCGACGTCCCAAAGAGGAGAGTCAGAACCAGAGTGGAGTGAAGAGGACATGAAGTGGAGTGAAGAAGAACTCCACACCAGACGGAGTTCGGCTTGGACTGGTGTGCTGGAATACAAGCAGAGAGAAAGGGTGTCCACAAGAGGGAAACTGGTGGACGGAAACAGAGTCCACGTTCCAGCAGGATGAAGCAGCTTCTGTGTAGCAGAGGGAGCAGTGCAGAGATGGAAGATTACAGACAGAACGGTTAGACAAAATAAGGAAACATACTAAAGATAATACAAGCCAGGCTTTTCAATATCAACTAGGAGTATAATTACACACATTTTTTTCAAGCGTTCATGAACACCCACCAAGATGAACCATATCTTGGGCCATGAGACAAACCTCAAAAATTTTTTTAAACTTTTCGCTTAGCATAAGAGAACCAAACTAGAAATCAATAATAGAAAGACAACAGTAAAACCTCCAAATGTTTGGAAATTACACAACAGTTCAAAAAATCCTTGAATCAAAGAGGAAGTCTCAAATGAAGTAATTTTTAAAAATACACAAAAGGGAATGAAAATGAATATGTGAGATGCATTGAGAGCAGTAACGAGAGAGATTAAATATTAGACTACTAAAAAAATAGTATCAGGTTCCTATTTTAAGAAACCAGAAAAGAACAAATAAATATAAAATAACAAGATGTAAGAAAATAACAGATAAGAGCAAAAAACTCAATTAAATTGAAAACAGGAAAAATAAAGAACAATCAATGAAACAAAAACCTGGTTCTCTGGGGAAAAAAATCACTAATACTGGCAAACCTAGCAAGACTAACAAAAATAAAAGACAGAATGTACAAGTAATACAAGTAATGGTGCACTATAGACCCTGCAGTCATTCAAAAGATAATAAGGAAGTACTGCGAACAACTTTATGATGACATAAATTAGAAGAAATGGAACAATTCTCAAAAGCCTCATACTCCCAAAACTCAACCAAGACAAAACAGACAACTTAAATAATCTTGTAACCATTAAACAAATTGAAGTTGTAATTAAAAAGCTCTTTAAAAAGGAATATCTAGGCCCAGATGGTTTCACTGGAGAATCCTACTAAATAATTAAAGAATAGCTAACACCAATTTCAAACAATTTCTCCTGGAAAACTGAAAAGGAGGGAATACTTCTAACTCATTTTATAAGGCTAGCATTACCAGGATACTAAAACCAGACTAATGCAATTAAAAAAAAAAAAGAGAGAGAGAGAGACAGAGAGAAAACTGCAGTCCAATACCCTTTAGAAACTTTGATGTAAAAATTCCAAACAGGCAATTCCCTGGTGGTCCAATGACTAGGACTGCTTTAACTGCTTTAACTGCTGGGGCCCAGGTTCCATCCCTGGTTAGGGAACTAAGATCCCACAAGCCACGCATGGCAAGTAAATAAATAAATAAAAATTTCAAACACAATACTAGAAAACCAAGCCTAGCAATACAGAAAACAATGATAAGAAGTGAGGTTTATGACAAGCATACAAGGCATGCCCAACATTTAAAGATGAATTAACATAACCCACCAATCAACAGCTAAGGAAAGCTCCCGTGATACTGAAGCAGAAGAAGCATTTCACAAAACCAAGTAGGCAATCATAGTCAAAACCCAGCAGAGGGAAACTTCTTCAACCTATATCTAACATCACACAATGATGACAGACTGAATGCACTCCACATAAAATCAGGAACATAGTAAATATATCCTCTCTTAACACTCCTATTCACATATCACTGGAAGTCCTAGACAGGATCATAAGGTAAGAAAAAGCAAACACATTCGAAAGAAAGCAACGAAACTACCCCTATCTGCAAATAACATGCCTGTCACTGTCCCAAAGAATCAACAGTAAAACCTCCAGAACTAGTGAGTTCAGCAAGGCTCCAGGAATAAAGATAAACACAAATTTCAATCATATTTTAAAGAGCAAACAAATATGAAATAACAATGAAAATAAAAATTTAAACCATAATACTATTTATAATTGCTCCAAAGAAAATTAATAACTTAGATATAAATGTGACAAAACACATATATGATTTATATTCTAAAAACTATAAAATGCTGATGTAAGAAATCAAAGAGCTAAATAAATGGAGAGTCCTGCCATATTCATAGCCTGGAAGACTCAACACAGTAAAGGTGTCCATTCTTCCCAAAATTGATCCATAGTCTTAATGTAACAGCTATTAAAATACTAGGAGAGTTTTTAAACAGACATTTACAATCTTATTCAAAAATTATCATGAAAAGGCACAGAACTAGAAGAGCTAAAATAATTTTGAAAGGGAATAAAGTAGGATGAATCACTCTATCCAGTATTAAAGCTTACTATACAGCCAGAGAAATTAAGACAATTGGAAGAAGGATAGAGACATAGATCAGTGGGTCAGGAAAGAGAATTGAGAAAGAGACATATGCATATATGTCCAGCTGATTTCTGACAAAGGTATAAAAAATACTTTAACAAATGGTGCTGTAACAATTGAACATCAGTAGGCAAAAAAAAAAGAAAAAGAAATTGCAACCTAAGCCTCATACCTTATACAGAAATTAATACAAAATGGATCATGCATTTAAAACAAAATATAAAACTTACAGAAAAAAAAAAAAAGCAGAACATCTTCAGGTAGTAAGGCAAGGCAAAGAGTTCTTAGTCTTTAAAATAAAAGCATGGTCCACAAAAAGAAAAAAACTGAAAAACTGGACCTAGTTAAAATAAAAAATGTTTGCTCTATGAACAACCCTGTGAAAGGGATGAAAAGACAACCTACAGGCTACTAAAAGGTATTTGCAAACTACATATCCAACAGAGGATCTATATAAAGGACACATAAAGAATTCTTAAAACTCAACAATTAAAAAAAACAAACAGTCCACAAGAAATGGGCAAAAAGGATGAACAGATATTTCTCTGAAGACGACAAATAAGCACATGAAGCAATATCCAACATCAATAAACATCAGAAAAATGCAAATTAAAACCACAAATGGATAACACTAAATAGCTATCAGAATGGCTATCATATAAAATATATTACATATTTGTAAAATAATTACAACAAACGTTGGCAAAAATGCAGTGGATGCAAATCTCTCCTGCACTGTTGGTGGGAATGTAAAATGGTAAATTCTTCTCGAAAATAGTTCAGCAGTTTCTGACAAAACTTAAACATGCATTTATGACACACTACTCCAAGAAAATGAAAATACTATGCTCACACAAAAACCTATATATAAAAATTCACAGTTTCATTTATAACAGTCAAAAGCTGAAAACAATCCTTTAACATGCAAAATGCTTAAATAAAA